GGCTGGAATATTATAATGAGCTAGAGCTAATGACGTCAGAAACTACCCACTCCTGAAGCCTCCTGATTTATCTCCTGGATTCAATCAATCAATCAATCAATCAATGTTTATTTATATAGCACTTTACAACAACTGGAGCTGATCAAAGTGCTTAACAGAATAAAAAACAGATCAAACTATCGAACAATACAAAATAATACACAAAGACAAACACATCGGTGACAGAACCCAGTATACAGAGACCCTATGTGCAGAAAGCCATCCTGAGGCGGCCCACAAAAACATGACTGAGTCATTTTTTCACACTTTGCCTGCTGATAGGCCCTCCACAGTCCCAAATGTACATAACCAAACGATTACAAACTTGGTTTTGCATAATATGTCCCCTTTAAATGACATCATTTAGAAACCTCCCGACGAGAACTGAAACCCATGACTAACACATTCCTCTCATTCCTTCTTTCCATTCTGCCTCTGACTCTGTTGGCCAGGTCCAGATGTGTTCCTGATCTCCGTGGATGAGAGAGCCAAACATGACCAGCAGTTTCTCAGCCTCTCTCCGACGGCGGGGGGTTACATCACAGGTAACGTTTACAGTACATCCGTAAGGCGAGACCAGGCTGAGTGTGGAACTTGCTGTCCTCCCTACCCTGTAAGTCGCTTTGGATAAAAGCGTCTGCCAAATGCATGAACATGAACAACATGAACATGTTAAAAGTATCTCTCTGATTTATTTATTTACATTGTTTATGATCATTAACGTGACGTTATCCTTGAATTGCTAGTTGTGGCTAATGGCTAATAATAACACGCCTTAAATATGTAATATTGAAATAAATAATATGTTATGTATAACATATATCCCTTAAATATAGGATGATGAGCAGCAAAAAACATAAACATATATTTATATACAGTATATATATGTTTATATATGCATATTAGGCTTGTACCGATCCGATATTTGGATCGTCCAGCAGGAGAAAATGCAGATCCATTTTTTTTTTATGGTCCGATCCCACACGAGCATTAGCATTAGCATTAGCATCTCCTGACCCACAGGTCTGTGTCCTAACCATTAAGTTGTTATCAGAGTAAATCCCTGTTCAACATGAGTCTGACAACTAAGTAAGTAGAATAAATAACTTTAA